TAGCAGGGGATGGGGCAGGGGTAGGACTAGTAGTAGAAGATGTTGCAACATTGATAGCTAGTTTTTGGCCAGCATTACAATGTTGGCCAAAAGTACAAATAAAGTACTCACTACCTGTGGAATTTAGAGTAATATTGGCTGGTCCAACAGTAATAAGACTAATGGGATTTGTGGAACTACAAGAATCATATGCACTCTTTGTTACTTTGGCTACATCATGTGCTCCACTTGCAAAGTTGAACACTACAAAATTCAAATTGAAAAAAATTAGGATTCGACTATACAAATCTTCACTGTTCATATCGCTATATTTAAGCAAAAATAATTATTAAACTAAAAGACAACCCCACCACACCACAACAACAAATGTACTTCGATGCAAAGCAAGTTCAGGTCGACTATATGAATCTTCAGATATCATGACTTTTCTCAAAGAAGTTGCACGAACATTTAGATATTGCTTTTGAAATCAAAATTTACTTTGTTTTTCTTCTTCTTTCTACAAGTTTTTAGATGATTTGATAGCTTTGATCAAAAGCAAATAAGTCATCTATATGTTAACAAATTAACTATCATGGTACCTAAACTTTCAATAACGATAACTATGCCTCAATCACGAATAATTAGGGTCGTTTATTCAGTCTTTGAACCAGAAAAGAAAAATATAAAGTTGATGGTAATTCTTCAAATTCGATTGTTAGTTCATGTTACCTACCTTTCAAACAACACGAGATAAAGATTCAAATCATCCTTACCATATATAAGAGAAAAGGTATTGAATACGTAATAATATACATACCTAAAGTATCACCGACTCTGAAAGTACGTCCTGAAGTCCAATTTGCATAAGTTATAGGTCCACCTGAGGGAATTGTCCAGCCCATAGTATCACCAACTATATGATCAACCGCTACTATATTCCCCGGTAACGCCGCCAAAATAGTCATCAAGACTAGTGCAATATTCATCTTTGTAACCATATCTTTTTTTGTGTGTGTTTTCAGGTAGCCCCAAATTGGATTTTTTTTCTTCCTATAATTAACTTTCCTCTTTTATATATGTGTGTTGTACAAAAAGTTACAAAGTTTCAATTTGAATATTTTGTTATAATACAAGGTTGTATTTATAGATTTATTTAGTCTATGGAAGTATCTAGGATGTTTCAATTGAATATGCTTATGAATTTTGACTAAGTCAAATAAAAAAAAATATTATGAACACAATTATGAGTGATGGAATTTAGAAAAAAATAATTAATTGGAAGTTGAACTACTCCTTAATTGGATGTTGGAATAGTTCAAAAAATTCTGCCAAATTCTCAACTTCTTAGAAATTAATATAATAGTATTTTATTTTAATATTTATGGGTTAAGTCTATCTGCACCATTTAGTCAAAATGAAAAAAAAATAAAAAAATTCACATGTCATGTTTACACATACCATCATCACACATGTTTTCATTAAGATGTAGTTTGGTTAGTAAAATAACAATAATAATCTCGCGATAAAATGTGAGATTATACGTTATGTACTTACGAGTATTAAATAATTTTAAGATTATTTTACTACAAATATTTTACTTCACTATTTGTATTCAAATGATAGAATTAACTCTCATCAAATGCGAAGCTAACTGGGGGTTCGAGGATTTGGATGATTTTAATAGTTTTTTCGTAGATTTTGTGTTTAAAAAATTAAAAAAAAAAAATATATATATATATATATATCCTTATTCTGACTCTACTTCTTCGTCCTCAATGATGTTCGAAAATGAGAAAATATTTTCCTCTTCAAAAATGAAGCTTAAAAATGAGAACAAAACATATATCACTCTTATTTTTATTTTTACGAGGTAAAAAGACAATTTCTCGACACAAAAAATATGAGTCCATTTAATCAAAATGGAATGGTCAAGCTCAAACGTCAACTTCAAGACACTTGGCATGATACTAGTTTAACTTGATTGACGTCTAAACCCCATCTTTGAAATGTATTAAGTCCAAGTCGTCTTTGTTCTTCTATTCTTTTTTAAGAGAAAAAAAACAATTCCTTTTATCTTATTTTATGCTATGGATGTGTTCGGTAAGAAGAAAAATGAAAAATAAAATAATATATACACATTATGTTCAGTTAGTATTTCAAAGACATTTACATATGATATAGGTAAATAATATGATTTGAAATCAAGACTCGTCTCTCGACTCAACCAAGACTTGACCCTTGACATGACACTGACCTAAGATCCAACCCCAATGTTGACACGAACCTGAGATTGAGATTGAGCTAGAGATCCCAGCCCCGATACCCAACCCCAACTCGACCCTAATCGAGACTTAACCTGACTTTGACCCTAAGACCCAACCACCACACTTGACACTAATTCCCACCTCGAGACCCAACCTTAACCCCCAACCTCGACATCGATACTTGACCCTAATTAACCTTGAGATTTGACCCCACAACAAACTCAAGACTCAACTCAGACTCGACCTCGAGATTCGAGACCCAACCTCGACTCGACCTAAGAACCCTTTTATTAGCCCTATCCCCCGAAAAACTTTGAGACATGACCTCGACTCCAATTCCAAGACCCAACCCCGATCCAAGACACAACCCTGAGACCCGACCTTGACACCAACCTGTAACTTGGTTGAGTCTTGGTTCAATAAGTCTCAATCGAGTGATAATGGTTTAGGGTCGAGCTGGAGTCGAGTCTAAGTTGGTCCCAGGATAGGGCGGACCTCAGCTTGAGTGAGCCAGGTCAAGTCTTGAGTTGATCAAGGGTGGGGGGTAGGGTGAATTATAAGGTGTTAGATTGAGGATCTAGAGGTCGGATCATTTGGCAAGATTAGGTGAGGATGGTGTGGTAGAAAGAGATTTTAGTATGTAAGTCATTTTCTATAAATTGATAGAAATAAATTCGTTTGAAAAAATACTTTTCAAATTATTTAAGTCAAGTGAATATGAAAAAATTGGAAGCGGACACACCCTTTACTTTTAAGAGATGGACGGAGTCAATTGAGTAGAGAAAACAGTAACTTGAAAATTTAAATAATTTTCAAGAAATTAAACTCCTTTAAATTCATGAAAGTTGTAAACCAATATTATTGAATACCAATAGATTTGTTCAAATTATATGTAAAAACCAATATTACTAAAATCTTGCCAAGATTATAACACCAATAACAAAAAATGTTCAAAGTTTAATCATCTTATCAAATTTACAATTTCAATAAAATAAAATATCTTAAATTAACTTAAGCAAGTCATACCATACTTCACACAAAAAATCAAATCATTTTCATATGCTATATGTTTTAAATATCTCACAATATAAAATTGTGACAATTTAGTTAAAGCCAATTCAACTACTTTACCAATCAAACATGGCTTGGTGTCACCTTTGTGTATTTTACACCAAAAACTTTTGACCTATTTTAGTTGCATCTTTTCACACCTAATAATGAAAGAGACTTAATCAAAGGGGGCATCTTAATATCTTATCATATCTTTGAGAAAAAAAAACAACTTTTTGGACCACTAAAAGAGCAACATGAAGTATTCCAATTCATTACATCAATTACCATGTTGGAAGTTGTCTCCAATGCTATTAGAAATTGTTCAATTTTGTTTTGTTGTACTATCGATTCAAAATATTAATGAATTTTATGTAACAATAAGAGAAAGATTCATATTTATTTCTTATTTTGTTTGTAAGGAATTTTGATTAAACATGACCTATTCGAGAAAATAAAGTTATTCATATTGAATAGTTTTGAGAGAAAATTTGATGATTTTTATAGGCCAATGAATACCCTTTTAAAGTGGAAAAATGCCCTTTTATAACATTCGAAAGGTGGGGGAATATTCAGAAGAATAAAATAAAAGAATCAAAGATATTCCATATAAAATAAAAGAACAATAAATACTGATAAATGATTGTTATTTTCTTAGTGAAACTTCTCATTTGAAAATATTATTTTCGCAAATATTTTGATTAAATCATTGAGGAAAGAAAAAATAATAATATTTTAGAACGAAAACAAAATTATGAAGTTTTTTCGGTGTTTCAGTCAGAATTTATTTAATTTTCACCATGAGTTATCCTAGTGAGATGGTTCGGTGAAAAATAGGTAGAAAAATAACATAATTTTTTTTTATTGATCATTAGGATCCATCTTTGTTTCTAGCAGTGAAACAGAATAACATAATAAACCTCTCGTATGCAAATAAAACATTATATATTTTCTCTTTATTCACTTTTACTTATCTGTTATACTAAATTTTTACTTTTATTCAATTTTCTAGTTATGTAGTTCAAAATTGTTGACCTATAGAATAGTTCTAGATAACAATTTATTTTAATTTGTTTATTGGTTCTCAATTTATAGTTTTAACAAGTAATTGACTTATCAATTGAGAGTTTTTAATGATCATGCACAAATTAGTCAATATTTTTGTCTGATTTAGAAGAAAATTAATTAAAGTACCTTCCTAAATTGATATTTACTTATTTAATTTTGAGTAAAAGAAATAACAAGAGTTTTAAGTGAACTTGCTATTTAAATAGGATCCACATAAGTAAAAAAAAACATTTTTTTCTTAAAACATTTAAATCGAAATATGGCTTTCAAAGAAAGTGGCGATGTCATACGCAAAAAGCAAAGAGACTCATAAAATAACAGAGGCAAATAGAACTTTTATACGTTCTCATTAATCTATGAATAGGACAACGGAGTCAAACTCAATCACATTCCCTTAGTTGGTCTGATCTGACTCCCTGCCCAACCGCCCTAGCGTATGTGTCTGAATCAACACTCTAACAATGTATAGATTCTTTACCCCATCAAGTTACGTTGACCTAAAACAACATGTAACTTTTCATATCGTGTCTGATATGGCACTTAAATTGATCTGATGGTGTAAAAGTTCTATATACCGTCCATGCATATAACAACGTAAAATCTACATAAGAATACTAAGAAACAGCAAGACTAAGACAAGATAAACCAAGAAAGAACTTATTTCATATATACTGATAGTGCATTGCTGAAAAATTCAAAAACAATCAGCAATCTCCATGGTCGACTAGCGATGAAGATCTAAGAGACTGCATTTCCTAATGTTGTTGATGTAGCAGTTTTTATAACTAGGAAATACGAAGACGCTAATCTGGTAATTCGTATAAGATGAGAGATCAAAAAATGTTGTCATAACCTCGACAGAAGAATCGATATTGAAGTTGTGATTGCTGTCGCTGACAAATAGTACCCTTGAGCTTGCATTCCCTGAAACATTTGTATGCGTAAAATGTGTAAGTCCACAATGATATGTGACATAAAAAAAACTGCAGAAGAGGACATTAAAATGCAGAAATCTGCTATGGTTGTTTCATATTCTTTGTTAACTAGGATAGCTAAGAATATGCTCGGGCATCCGTTATCAAGCTTCAGAAAAAATGAAAGGGTATCTTAACAAGAATGAGATATCTTCTACTACAATAACATAATATACGGTATAATCCCACAAGTGAGGCTTAAGGAGGGTGGCGTGTATGCAGCCTAACCCCTACCTTGTGAAGGTAGAGAGGTGGTTTGCATAGCATAGATGGAATGAACATTACAGTTTAGAATGAAAAGTTCCCTACATTATAGATTGGTCTCAAACAACTCAAATACCGAGACAAATGTAATCTACTATGAAGTAACAACCCCATATATGAATAGAAGGAGCAGGAACAAGTCGACAAACAAAAACTATCTTTCATAAAAAACATAAATCTTCATAGCAACAACTTGTTTGTCAATGAGCTACAGTAGCAAATCGAAGGGTTTGCCAGAAACTCAATAGATGTATGTTCCATAAAGTTAATTTTTAGTGCTGCAACAAATTCTACAAGTGCAGGGGTAAAGCTACTCCAAGTACACAAATCAACTGACCTCATCAAAGTGAAAGCCCCAAACAAAGGAGCAAGAGGGAGAAATGACGGGGGAGGAAGAAAAACTAGCTTCCTCCAAAATGATTAAGGACTGGAGCAATCCAAAATGAAGGAGTAAAGTTGAGTTATCATTGGTAAGATAGCTACTGCAAAAGCTTCTCAAATACATCAGATGTGATAAGAGTGCCCATTCATCAACTGTAGAGCAGGGAGATGACACGTGACAAGTTGACACAAACTCATTTGACTTGTTTGTTGGATTGACAAAACACTTACAAGGGATGTGTCCTAACAAAAGAAAGCAGCAGATCAATCGTACTTCTGCTTCCACGGCAAATCTATTAACCTATCTCTTCATAAAGTACATTAATGACTATTTTTCAACAAGTTCACCACAGACTAAGTTCTTCATGTCAGCTTATCAGCACCTCTATAATGCTCCCAAATGAGAAAACAAAACCTAGTAAATCTTTCTGGAAGTTCCATTCAAATCACCATGCCTAATTTCCTTAGACTAGAGTATTCTTTTAAACTATATTAAAGTTCTTTTTTTTCTTTCAAGCTGTTATCCACTCAATAAGTGTTTACCAGTATTTCCAAAGTTCCAACTCAGGCACCAAACAGTCTCGGAGACACCAAGAACAGCATGATATCCATGCTGAAAATGATCATAATATATCACTTATCAAAACCAGATCTGAAAAGACAATTTAAACCATAAGCTTCAAAGTGATGAATTTTACAAACTTACTTGCCTTCTCCTCTTGTTTCCTTTTCTTTTTTTCCGTCTGCTCATTTCCTCTTTCTATAAAAGTTCAAAGTAGCAGAACAAGAAGCTTCTGAAGTACTCAGTAACAGAAAAGAAGTCTAGTTTTAGCCAATGGATCTAACCCCTTTCACCCCCCTCGTCAACTCTGGTACATACTCTCAATCTCTTTCCAGTCCTACTCCTGTCAATAGATTTAGAAAAGGATTCTTGTTCTTTACGGTAAGAAAAAATGGGTTTCCAGCAGTAGAAAAAACATATCCAATGCTATAAGCATGTTGAAATACAAGGATTCATTCTATAAGCATGTCAAAACACCTTGAAAAAGTATCTGCTCATGTACATTTTAAAATTAAATGTAACGCTTTTTCACAAGTCTGAACTCTTATAATATGCATTAATAAAGATTACTATTTTTAATGAACCGGGTGATCATATTATCAATTGAACTACTTCCCCACAGAGGCATAATCACGGCACAAAGATAAAACCCATGAAGCTCCAAAAACATTGATTTTCTTAGTCTTCCTTAGTTCCTTTACCGTTTTGCAAAGGAGCAGGATAATGTATAAAAAGAATTCCATCTATACTTCCTATATTAGCAAGCATGCAATTCAACTCAATACATTCATGTAGAGGTTTCCAGCATATTTACGACATGCTATACATTGAACCCGTGCATGTTTTCCATGCTTGAACATGAGATTAAATTTCCAGCATAAGGGACCAACTAAAGTGTCTTCTTTCCATTTTATATTCTAAAGTAAGCTAAGATCACATTTTTCTAAACTACGGGTGCTACACAGATGATCCAAAACTATATGAAAACAATATGCTCACAACAATTCGATCATTATCTAGAACATGAAGGATGACTAACGCCCAGATAAATGTCGAGCAAATGGAAGAAACTTTTCATGAGGACAAAAGAGCCTCATACCTTCAAAGAAAAAAGCGAAGATGCAGCTGAAATATCTTGCAGCCCAGAGAAACCAACATCATAAGATATACTACCATCAGCTTTGAAGAGTCCGAAGTTCTTCTCTGATGATTGACCTGGCTTTTGATACTCATTGAAGAGTGCAAAAATATATGCCTTCAACATTTTTTTCGGCCTCAATGGAGTTCCTTTCCTCTTGGCGAGCCTTTTACGCAGATTATAATTATATGTTCTAGCATTACTTGGGGTGGCAGCAGGTTCATTCTCATCCCCATCAGAGGCCCAGCCTGTTTCCGTAACAATGACTTCCATTTTCCTGAAACCAGCATCCTCTAGAGCTGCATATGCTGCATCAATCTGAGCATCGAGCAAGTTGTCATAATGTAGATGAGTTTTATTGTCAACAATGCCTTCATTTGGCTGAAAAAGAGCATAATTTATGTCTATTTTATCTGAGTTGTACGTGTAAGCCAAAAATGGATAAGCATTTAGACAGAACGGAGATCCAATTTTCGAGAAGAACTCTAAAAGTGGCTTCATCAACTGAGCAACACCATCTTTAAATACACAATAAGAAGGAGGGAACGAATCAGCAAAAACAGCCTGCGAGTGTGCAGTCGATATCTGAACAACATCACTTATCCCAAGCTTTTTTGTTGCATTGTATACATTCTTTACAGCATTCAGAAGGGCTACCTCCAGTTCATTGTCACTACCCCCCAAAACCTCATTTCCAACAGCGATGCCAACAATGCGGGTATCAGGAAGGAATGCCTTCACATTATCTTTTACCCAAGTCAGAGCATGATCTGCATTAGCACTCATTTCTTTTACAAACCCATTCGGAAGTCCAACCACTAGCTCAAGCCCTGTTCCTTTAAACGCATTAAGTACACTAGGCTCTGCATCATAAATTCTAACATTCTTAATTTTTGCTGCCCGAAGAAGTTTAACCACTTTATCAGGTGAAGGGATATTATCTGCAATTCTTCCGTAATTAATCCCATATGTTCCTGTGAATGCTCGTGCAGTCTGTTGAGCTGAAACAAGAAGGTGAAAAAAGTGCATTTAGTACAAAGAAATTCCACACGAAATGTTAACAATCCAAAGCGTCTGAGAAAGAATGCAGATATAAAAGTTGCAACTACTTCTTTTAACTCGAGTCTAATTATAAATTTCGACCAGCCTATCAAGCCACAAGAATTGATTTTACATGATAAGCAGACTACCAAATTAAAATTAACATAAACTTGCAGGAAACTTCTCCAGTCAGTTTCTAATGGAATCACCATAAATACATCAAACAACAATTTGCCTATTCATCAGTTATACAGCTTAATAACCTTACACTACAGAAGTATAAAAATAAGGCTTCTATACCAATCCATTCTCATAAGCAAAGAAAAAGGCTACAACCAAATTCCACTGCAGCAAGATCAAACAGAAAATAGCTAAGTACACATACACAGAACACAATAAGAAGATCCAGGTTTCATTGTCCACTATGTTAATCTTCTAGCTATTACAACAGCAACACACCCAGAGTTCTCTGGGGTATGAGGAGGATAGAGTGTACACAGACTTCACCACAACCTCATAGAGAGGAAATTTTTAGTTACTATTAAATTTTGAAATAAAAAATCACACATGGACAAGTGATACTACAGCATATTGATCAAATCTGCAAACCATTTACTTGATTCCCAATCAGCAGCTCAAAAAAATAAACTTTATGAAAGAAAAAACAACAACAAAGTTCCAAGATTCAAAAAAAGAAAGAAAGAAACAACCCCATCATTCACAATCCAAAATACATGAAAAACTACAACAACCCCATCAAACAAAACAAAAGAATTGAACAAAAAATGAAAATTAAACTATACCATTAGGATTAAAGATCACCAATAACATAAAAAGGAATCTAACAAGAATCTTCATCACTACACAACTTCAAAACGACGTCGTCCCTCCCTTTTGCTCTTCCAAAACTCAAAAGCTCACTCCTTTAGCTTCATCAGCCACCACCCAATACACCCCTTTTTCACACAACCAATCACTTTTTCACAAAAACCCCCACAATCATAAAACTCTAAATTTTCAAGATTCTTGAAAAAAATTCTCTCTATAAAGTAAAAAATAAATTGCATATATGATACTACTAGTGTTGTTTTCTTGAGTGGTGGTTTCCGGTGAGTTTTTTGGCTGTGAAAATTATTTTCAGACAAAAGTCTAATTATAGTCTAAAGTTTTGAATTTTATGTATTGGATTTTGAATTTTCTTATAAAAACATTGGAAACTGTGAAAAAATATTCTCACTTGCCAAACAGGGACTTACTGTGACTATGTTTTAGTCACGCGCTTTATAGACGGTGTTCAGCACGAAAAATTGGAAATGAAGTATTTTTTATACCTTTTTTTTCTTTTTTATTTAAGTGAAGAATTTATTTTTTACTAAAATATCAAAATTGCTTGGAATAAAGAACTGAGTTTTTTTATTAAAAAAAAATATTTTATGCAGTAGAAATAAATTGTTTTAATTAGTTTAAAAAGTGTTTTTTTTCTTTTTTAAGAAAATAAATTTTTGATCGAGCATGAATTGTTTCTTTAATATTAATATTAATTAGCTAAAGATGAATTCTGATTCTTCAAAAAGTTTGTTTGTTTTGAAAAATAGTTATATTTAAAAAGGTACTTTTTAAATAAATAAATTTTAAATGTTTGTCACCTGTAAGTTTCGAACGAAATTTAATTTTTTTTAAAATCAAAATTTTAATTGATCAATTAATTAATTATTTAAATCTTTTACTTTATTAATAAGGATTCGACTTTATTTTCTTATCCCAAGCTACAATTTTTCTTTTGAAAAAACCAGAATCAGGTTCTAATAATTAGGTTATAATTTTTATTCTTTTTTATTTTTACCTAAATACAAATATGTAAATGTTGCTAAAAAAAATAATGATGAAATTGTGGAGCTAATTATTTTATTAGGTTGTTACCTTATGATTATGTTCAAATTATCAAAATTTATAAATCACGGCTTGTGCAAAAGCTTTATGCTGAGTTGTCAAATATAAAATGCTCAAAAATTTAAAAAAAAAAATTGGAAATCTATTTTGTAATAGAAAATATCACTAAAAAAGCATATATTCCAATAGCTACTTAAAAGCTATTTATTTGGAATATTTAAATGGAGTACTTTCAAACAAAACTTTTTCATAATAATAATAATGAAAATGTATCAATGACTCCGATCCCTCAAATTTATTAGTAAATTTTAATAAGATATGAAATATATAAAATTTGTAATGAAATATTTAATTATATATGTAAATTATGTGAGAGTTTCATTACCCCTACCCCATACACATACAAAATTTTATTTGTTCATAGTATTTATCATTATTATTAATTATTTAATAAATAAAAATAAGTTGATTGAGCATCTGAATACATGATAAATATTTTTAATTTATTTTTTGAAGAAAAAACAGTTGCTCGTTATAACAAAAATCCATTGCAAGATAAGTGAATCACATATTTATAATTATGTCTGCTTATTAAATTATATACATTATTATTAATCAAAATGTAATTCCTTGATTTATCAAAATTAATGTATATAATTTAAAAAAATTAACATATTTAAAGTGATTAACTTATTTATATTTGCCTAGGTAATAGGCACACTCAAAGACTTAATTTTTTAAGTAAAGCATATTCGACAAAAATAATTATTATATATTCAAATATTTCTAATTAAATATTTTTAAAAAATTACTAAATAAAATTACTAAAATAATTTTATTGAAGTAAAAAGGGAAGCGCGTGGGGCCATTTGAGTTAGTACAACGTCATTCATCTTTTTTGCGTTACAAAATATCCAATGGAAAATCACAATTAATGGAATCTTTATTATTTTTTTTCTCATAAAATAAAATGAAGTGGGGAAAAAAGACTTTGATTTAACAGTTTAATTTTATTTTATGACAAAAAAAAAGTAGTTTTATTTTCTTTGAAATTAATTTTCAATATTATATCTTACCATATATTAATATTCTAGTTCTAGCGATATATAATAGTATAGGTTTGGAATAAAAAGGGCCACATTTTGAAGCGAAAATATCAAAAAATAATAAATTTGGCGATTGATTATACGAATAAAATAACTATTAGGATTTTTATCGACAAATAATATTTCTGTTGATGATTCGCGGTTCTTGATACGATCATTTACTTCAGTCGTGAACGAATTCATAATTCTGTCAAAATTTTCAAAGAATATATAATTTCTTTCTAGTCGTGCTATAATACATGACTTTCAATTATTATTTTCACCATTCATTGCATAATTCGGATAAACGTCTTTATTCCCTTCTAGTCGCTCTTCGATAGTTAATCAACGACTTTAAATTTTAAGCGCCAAGATAAAGAAATCCTCAATAGAAAATGTTTAGTTTTTTTCGCTCGTATAATTATGTATAAATAATTATGAAATAAGTATATTTTAAATATAGAATAGCACTATAAAAGAAAATGAAATGTCAAAATCATATTATTAATTAATTAAAAATATATGTGTACCTTTCTAGTCTTGGTCTACCATAGTCCATGTCATTTAAGCCTAATAAGGACTTGGATCTACATAGAATTATGTCATTTTACTTAATATTTAAATCCATTGGACATGATATTTCTTTTCTTCTTGTCATTGACACTTTACCTAATCAATGGCTTAACTTTCTTTTCTAGTGAAGACTAAATTTTTCTTTTTTACTTTGAAATCGTATATCGTGAGATATACGTTCAAAACATATAATATGTGATATGAGTTTGAATCATAATAAATATAATTTAAGTCAGTTGTTCCTCGATAGAATAATTGGATTAACCTTCACAAGGATGTTGAATTTCCCTAATATAAGAGATGGATTGATAAAGATGATTCAAATACAATATACATATTTTTATACTGACAAAATTAGTTTATATTTACATGTTTAGGGAATTATAAGGCCTTCAAAGTACTAATTTAAGAATGAAATCAGTTTGATAATTTGAATGAAAATAGAAACAAGACAATTATGTGTAGAGTACATTAATATTCCCTCTGTCCATTATTGTCGTAGTTTCTATTTTTAGAGTTAAGTTATACAAATTTTGACTAATATGTTATTCTCTCCGTTCAATATTGTTTGTCATGGTTTCTATTTTTAGAGTCAAACTATAAAAACTTTGACTAATATTTTAAAATGAATTTTTTCATCATATTAATATGTAAAAAATTATAATTTATAGTACTTTTCATATAGTTTTAAAATATCTAATTTTTTTGTTTAAAATATCAAATTAATGTGATCTAATTTATCTTTGATAATTAGTCATGACTTTCGATAATCGCAACATGACAAACAATTCCGGACGGAGGGAGTATAATATATTTTTCATCATATTGATATGCAAAAAATTGCAATATGTAGTACTTTTCGTATAATTTTTTGAATTTTTAAATTTTTTGTTTAAAATATTAAATTAATATAATCTATTTTAATTTTGAAATACGCAAATTGATTTTAGGAAAACGCATATCTAATAAATAAAAGTAGACGGAGAGAGTAATTTTATTCTTTTTTTGTGTGTAGATTTGAATTAGGAATAACTTCCATGTATTGATTAGTTGATGAGGACCTTATAATTATAGTATTAAAATTTTTAAAAATAAAACCTATTTCCCTTACCTAAAACATTGTCTTCCAAGTGTTGCTTTCTAAAGATCAACTTTCTAAATATATAAAATAAAATAAATTAAAAAATTCTATTGTTTATTGAATGATCATATATGGTTGTTTTTTTAAAAAAAAAAGAAAAGGAAAGAAGCAAACATTGCTTAGCTCAATAAACATCCAGGACAAAGCATTGAACTTTTCAAAAAGTCTTCAATAAAAAAAAGAATTATAATTGAATCTTTAACCTTTTCCTTTTGAAAAAATTTCATGATCCAATGTTACTATGTATTAAAAAGTTTAATGTTTTGAAGAATATACAATAATTTAAATAAGCTTTTTCTTTCACCTTAAGTGGCATCAAATATTTGAAAAGTTAAATTACATTATTTTTGTTGATATGCATTTCCACTTATTTCACATAAAGGGTATGTTTAGTATGAAACAGAAGCACTTTCTCATTAATTGGTTAAAATATTTTGAAAAAATAAGTTTTTGAAATAGAAAAAATAAGTTTAATAAGTGTTCGTAATCTCCTTTCTGCCCCGCTACCATTCGACCCCCACCCCCAAAAAAAATTTCCTCCAATCCCCCCTTTTTCATGTCATTTTGTTTTCTTTTTATTCTTCACTAGGTTTTTGTGTGTTTGTTTGTGTATTTCTTTGGGGTACTAATGAGAGTATGATAACATTGGAATTGTTATGTTAAAAAGTGATATCAACACTCTCTACTATGTTGTGGGATATAAGTCATCACCTTTTAAAAGAATGAAAATAAAATAAAATGTGTAGTTTGCTTTTTTTCACTTTTGTGTTGGCTTTGTCTACTTTGGTATTAAGGTAAACAAATATATATACTTGAAAGATGTTTGAACATGATTTGATTGAAATTTATTTTATTTCTTTAGAAAAGGTAGTATGTGAAGTTGAAGTCCAAGAAAGTAGTGTTTAGACATGAAAGTAAGACTAAGATTTAATAGTGAGCACTTTTAAAAATATTTCAAGTTTAAAATAGAAATAACTGAGCAATCGAATAAGCTAATAATTATTTAAAATAATCTCGAATATTAGTTTAATTTTTTAAAAAAATATATGAGTGGGGATTTAAAGGATCAAAGTTTCACTAACAAAATATTGTAATGGATTGGTAAAGAAAAGATATTGAGTTTGAGTTTTACTAGAAATGAAATTACTGAGTGATTTATCTCTAATATGACACTTCCCAATCTAAATTGAATATCAAATATGACTTTTAACATAAATATCGAACATCGAATATGACAAAAGATGTAACATATAATGGGGATTCCAATCCATTTTTCTCATTACCAACAACTTTCATTCATGTAATGGAATCTACTTTTTTACATCTATCCTTGGTTGGAATACAATATGTTGACATCAACCTTAGAATTATAAGAAAGTTGAAAGAGACCATTTTATAGTATACTCATCTTTTAAGAAACAAAAAAATTCATTGATATTTTGTAAGAACACAGTAATTTTGAATTTATTTGCATGATTGTTGCATCTGTT